GGTTTACGTCACGATGTGGGAAGATTTGTATAACACCACACAAATGTTCACGCAAAGAAAGAAGGCGTAACTTTTATTCTCGCTGTAGTATTGTTGACGCTGCAGCCATGTCCTGAAGACGCTGTGTGCTTCGTTGTGAAAGCGAAACTACTTTGTTTGGTCTTCCAAAAGAGGACGATATCGCTTCGTCATGCCTAGAGCTGATCTGTGCTGGTTGCTGAGGAAATACAACAACTTCGCTGTCGATCGCCGGATCGGCTTTCACTGTGGACGAAGCGGAGTCCAGCCCGGGGTCGACACATGTGGTTGCAGCAGGCATCACAATATGGTGAGGGGCGTAACATTTTCATCCATCATCAATTTATTTGCTCCATATACAAAGTTATTTTCAAACGTGCGTATATCTGTTTCAAAATAAAACCTAACCCTGCTGTTCACTGATATGTTCACATGTTTGATGTTCCAGTCGCTGTAGCATTTCTAGTAAAACTCAGATATTAAAGACTGAATGACAGGACATTGAAGACAATCGCTTGGCTCTTGGCTCCCCCTGAAGGTTAAGATGTTCATCCACATAATCATCACTTCAAGTAATGATTTCAAACTAAAACTATTACTTGTTTACTTTTATAGCCTACGTGATGTTAATGCACTATTTATTTTTCAAATCTATTATTTGTCACTCTTGCAGTATAAAACAGCCTGATGGACACCTATATAGTTCTCTACGTTATGTGTTTTTTTTTTACTTCAGTAAAAAATTTAGAAGGTGCCTTATTTTGATACTTTTTTTATCCAGTCATTATTGTCACATTATTATCTTCTAAGTATTTAAAGTGCTTTTAAAGAATAGAAAATGCTTGATAGACCTATGTTATTGTTCACTTCATTGGCTAAAAAAATCTGATTACTCTGTAAAAATGTACACAGTCGATTATTTGATTATTAAAATAATTGAGAGTGACAGCCCTGTTTTAAACTTCCCTGCTCCTTGGACTTATTATATTTTAACACTATAAAATGCATAATGTTTGCACTTCAAAGTAATTTAAGTAGTTTTCAGATGTTTTGTGCATTTGCTTAACATCAGATATTCAAATGATAGTATTAATTTTTTTAATCGTTCAGGAAGGACTAAAATCCTAGTGACTGTAGGCTATATTCATTGTTACAAAACTGGTGCTAAAGGTCCGAAGTTTCTTTCCTGCAAACCAGCACATACAATAAAGTGTGCTTTACAATAAATGCCACTTGCGTTGATTTGTCTAATTATTGCAGCCTCTATTAGGCTACATGACTATAGGAGTGCAGTTACCTAGGCTCTCTAAAAGTTATGAACAAACGTTAATAGAATGTTCATTTCAAGTTTACAACGTTCTCAAAACGTTAGCACAAGAACATTATGTATAAATCGTGTATGGAACTTTTTTCTGAAAAAAAAAAGTTTTGGACGTTCGGTGGTTTGGAGAAGATTCCCGTGTTGCTTGCAAAACAATAAAATGGAACATTCTCTTTAATGTTGTCTCTAACTTTCACATAACCAAGAATAAAGGTTTTTATACCTGAACGTTTTAATTAATTTAATTTTTAATTAAATATCTGAACGTTCAGAGAACATTCAGAAGTAACTTTTTCCTAATCTAATGGAGACATTAGCAAACTGTTCTTTGGACATGTTTTCTGGTAGCTGGGTATCTGTGTCTAGTGTAGATCAGTGCGCTCTGGAGGCGGAACCAACGCGCGCGGTAGTGCTGCTTTCAGAGCCGTTCAGCGCGAACTGTGGCGCTCTTACCTTGGGTTTATCGTGATGGGATCTATCTTCATGAGGTGATTTTAGAAATAAAGAGTGAATGCACGCAGATGGAGGTGTTTGTGCTGCTGTCAGCGCTGCTGTGCGTTCAGACCTCCGTCAGCTCTCCAGTCTCCACAGCTGCTCAGGCTCAGGTGAGATCTGCTTCTTCTGGCCCCAAATAACGCCACAGATACGTTTAAATACGCACAAGGACTGTAGACTGATTTCTGTTTTACTTGCATCTTATGATTAGATTACATTCGATTGCAACATTATTTAAAGGTTACAAAAACATTGCTTACAACGTTCTACTATATTTGTCCCCCCCCCCCACCCATT